TAACGATTTTTACTTCGTATACTAACATTTTTTATGCATTCTAATTTTTATGCATACTAACATTTACATTATGCAACTAATTTTTATTTATGCATATTAATATTTAAAAAATGCAACTAATTTTTATTTATATATAAACTAACGTTTATCTATACATGTCAATGTTTATTTATATTTTAGAAACTCTTCATAATTTTATTTAAACATTTACTAATATTTATTTATGTTTCTAGTTAGTAAAATTACACCAAGTAAAGTTATGTATTAGTTATAAGTCTTATTAAATGATTTATAAAATACATATACATATACATAATATATATACAAAATGGATATATATATATATATATATATATATATATATAATATATATATATATATATTATATATATATATATATATATATATATATATATATATATAACTGATGGACCCAAGATAAAAATGGTCATTTGATCCAAATTCAAAGTACATTACTTACATTCCCAAACAATTTCATATATTAATTATAGGTACTTATAAATATACACTCATTATTATATTTGCAAATTTATAATTAAAGATTATGTTTTTCTTATTATACAGCTTATTTTAATTTTTCAACCGTATATTAAAAGATTTATACAATTACAGACTAAATGTCTAACTATATTTTAGAGTAAATTAAACGAATGGTTCCTATGGTTTGGGGTAACTTGCACGTTTGGTTCCTAACTTATTTTTTTAACTCGGAAGGTCCCTACTGTTTGCTTTTGTTACACGATTGGTCCTTACAATTTGTTTTTGTTACACACTTGATCCTTATCTTACTTAAAAAGACTATTATTTAAATAGAGAAAAATGGTGAGGTAGGTAAGGTAAGGTGAAGGTGGTGGGGTTGGGGTGTGTTTATTTAAATAAATTAAAAAATAATGACAAAATAGTTTTTTTAGGTAAGACAGGGACCAAGCGCGTAACAAAAACAAACAGTAGAGACCTTCCAAGTTAAAAAATTAAGTTATGGACCAAACGTGCAAATTACCCTAAACCATAGGTACCATTCGTGTAATTTACTCTATATTTTAAAAATAATTGCTTGAAAAATATTATTAAGTTTATGTTGTTATAATATTGTTTTCTTTTGTAGCCGTGTGAAGGGTTATTATGCCCAATAATGGTCCAATTTTAATTTATAGTCATCTTGCAATTGATTCTAGGTGATCATGGTTCATTTCGTTTTTTAAAATAAAATCGAACTTAATATCAAGAATCAATATGAGGCCATGGTTTGTTTTTATTTATAACAACATATATATATATATATATATATATAATATATTATATATATATATATATATATATATATATATATATATATATTATATATAATATATATATATAATATATATATATATATATATATAGTTTTGTTTATTTCCATTCATTTGTTAATGTCGTAGAATCCGTATGGTATCTCCAAACTTAGTTACAATCAAGGTTCCAAATGGCATTTGTAGGACGAATGATTGAAAGAGTCCTATCACTCGCTCCCTCCCTCCCTCCAATCTATTCTTTCCTTCCTCTCTTTTTCTCTCAAGGCCTAAAATTCTGGCAAAGTGGTTATCACAATTGATTCATGATTCGCTCAACGATATTGTTGTGATATTTCATCAATAGCAAAAGAGTTGAGAACACAAAATGGCCATGGCAATGGCGATGATGTTAGTGCAAGATCCAAGATGATATGCATGTATATATACGAATTCATGAATAATCAACAATACTGATCTTGGAAACCACATATCTATTGATCATGCGTTCAAAGCCATGCCTTTACATTCAACCCAAGAACTTAATGAGCAGTTGCATGCTTTGATCCTCATCTTGGCCCCATTAAAGAAATCTTGTCCTACCCCCTTCATTCCTATGACAATCCTTCTAACCTTATGTCGTGGAGATCCCAAGGTAGAAGTGTATTTTATCTTGCATCGATGAACCATTGACTTCTTCCATCTTTTCTTGGGGTTATGTTCTCTTCATATGTTTCTTAATCTCAATGGATTTTACATCTTTAAGATTTTGATATCTCCTCAATCTCTCCATGTTTCGTTGATTCTTGCCTTGTGTTCTTGTTCGAAACATATTACAACACCTAGATATGATATACCTTGGGGATCCTGTACATTGCTCGAGGGGCTTGGTATTTGTTAAAGTGGTGTCGCGTTTCAAGCAACAAAATGAAACGTGTTGGTTTCACATAAAAGAAATCTCCTTCAAGTTTGATGATCGAATCTACACGTATGGAGTTCAACATCAACCCGGAGGAAGAAGTAAGGTAGGCGACATTCAATAGGTCCTATATATATGGGCCGGTTTTTATCTTTTACATGTGGTTGTGGGTCCCATTTATGTAAAGAAAATGGGACCCACAAAATAAAGATTGGAAGAAGAAATGTAGTCTAAATGTATATTACACTCGATCCACCATATGATGATGATTATCCAGAAGGGATTAACTCCAATCATACCCACCTTACGATTCCTTGTTCTTGTTCTAACAAATAGTAGTCGAGCCTAGATGATGCTACGGGATTTAATGTTTATCAACTGTTCTCTCATGATTTATTTGAACTTGATTGATTAATGTAAAAAAAGTATATAATGATGTGCATTTATATTGTCTACGTTATTTGGTGTTACCAAGGTCAACCCTAATGTAGACCATTTACTCTTGTAATATTTTGGTTTTACATAGAATTTTATTAATATATTTGAATGACTTGCTTGAAATTCAAATTTTCAAATAAATAAATTAATTTGGACATTTAAACCAGCTTAAAACTGAAGTGTCCAGAGCCGAGGATTTTATATAAGAAGGCTTACATCGTAATAAGAAAAATTATGTGTCGAGTTTGCATCTTACATTATTGGACGATGAAATAGAATCTTGTCACATTAAATATGTTGTTTTGTACCAAATCAAACGAACATTGATAATGCTAATTTTAGTTTATTCTTTTAATCTCCAAGAAATGATTGAAATGAATCCAATGACCTAGTTTGAAGCTAGAAAAAATAGAATTTGTTACGAAGAAAACGGTAAACCTATATAGATTTTTAGAAAAATAAATGACTAAACTTGCTTGAAAAACAATAAGACCTCAATATTAGGCCATTAAATGAGGGATACAAATAAAGAATAACATCAATTAAGGCCATCCACAATTGTCTTAAAATTGACCTTATCTTCACCCACACCCACTTTAGAATATAGTGGATCATCAAACAAGTTGCTAAACTATATGCTGCTACAATCAAAAATGTGTCTAATAATTAAGTGTGGTGAAAATACAAATAGAAGGAAATATTGATTATAAAAAACATTTATGGTGGCAAATAACATAACCGTGAAAATACTTGGCCAAGAGACCCAAGAAACCAAAAAAAAAAAAAAAAAAAAAAAAGTAGTTTTGGGTTTACACATGTGGGCTTGGGTTGGTTTTGTTCGGTTTTCAAACCATTGGGTCGATTCGGTTTTAATGGGTTGGTTTTTAATATGCGAATCGAATTCAAACCAAATTTTTCAATTTTGAAAAATCGTATAGCAAAATCGATAGTTTTGGTTCCATTTCGGTTTTATTGAATTTTGTCAGTTTTTTATTTTCAGTTTCGGTTTTGTTCAGTCCTAATAGAAAGAAATGCTTCAAGTTTGTGTAATTTGTTTGCTGAGATTTTTGAAATGATAGGAGAAAAAGAATGTGGTTCAAATTGTTAATGACAATGCTACTAATTACAAACTTGTTGGTTATAAGTTATGTGAAAGATATACTTCCATTACTTGGTTTCCATGTGCAACATATTGTCTTAATCTAGTATTAAAATATGTTTTAGAATTTGAATATGTAAAATTTTTGTAGCAAGACATATTGTCTTAATCTTAATCTTGTATTAAAAAGTGTTTTAGAATTTGAATATGTAAAATTTTTTGTTACTCTTGCACGTAGGGTTCTTATTTTTATCTGTAATCATAAGTGGCCCTTGAATTGGTTATGAAATAGACTTTGATGGACGGACAGAAATCATTTGTCTAGGTGCTACCACTTCTGGTTTCGCGTTCATTGCATTGAAAAGTTTGTAAGATCATAAAGCCGATTTATAAGCACTTGTCATATTTAACGAGTTTAAGATGTTGAAATTGGAAAATGCGGTTAAATGTAAACAAATTGTTTTGAATATTTTTTGGAAAATTGTTTGGTTATGATGAAAGTGGTGACTCATTTGTTAAGGCTTTTTGTGCTTATGTGATGCAGATGAAAAACTACATTGGATTATATTTGACAATAAAGTTTGTAACTCTATTTTTAACATATTTATCCTTATCTTCTTCTCATTCCATTGCTATCAAATTAGAGCTTTTTAAGCTTTTTGACAATATACTTTTATATATTTGTATTTTTCTTATAGTGAAATGGTACTTTAAAGTTATTAATTTTGTTATTTTCATTACAGTTTAGAATTATCTTTTTTAATTGTAATTTCCACATGTTTAAACCTAGTTGTATCTCTCCTCCACATCAGCTTCTCTCTCATCTATCTTTCATATTTCCCAAACCAACAAGAAAACCCTATATTTCTCAACCAACTTAATTTTTAATTTTAAAATAAACATAAACTAATAAAAATCACTGATTTGGTTTGACCTTAATGCGTTAGTATTCAACTATTATTCATCTTAAAAGCTATATTTTGTTTTGCTATCATTCCCCAAATTCTATCTAACATCAATATTCAAAAGCTTGGTAGCAACTCCCGATCAAAAAACAAGAACATTCGGTAGATATGGAACAAATATCAAAAGACTACACTGAATCAAAGATATAGAAACAATTAACAAAGGACCCACCTCAAAAAATTGCAGATAGTTGAAGGGGATTCACTTCAAGAATCTCTTGTGTGTATTAAGCTTCCTCAGCTTTTACTGTTCATTTATGTGAATGAATTCAAGAAACTCTGATAACTTATCATTTCAAAACACTATTTCTTCTTAAAGGCCGAGTTGGTTTCTTCTGATAACATGAGTTCCACTCTCCTCCATCCTGAGAATAATAATCCATCGGATAATCACTGCCATTGTTGTTCCCACAACAAGCTTCATTCTTTTCACAGCAATTTGAGTTAGAACTATCTATAACAACAGCTTTTCTCTCCCACCAACCAGGGTAATCACCAAGTGCAATCTCAGCTTCAAATGAGGTCAACAATGGCTTCACAAACGCATCCCCCCAATCAATTGATAACCTAGGGCATGCAATCTGGATCCAAGCATCAACTGAATCACCAAACAAAGAAATTCTAGCGGGAGATAGCTCTGACATCAATACAATCGTCCATGAAAAACCCTTTTCTCTCATCTTCTTCTCTAACCTATCGAGTATTCTAGGGTTCCCTTGTCTTCCTAAAGTACCCAACACAATCCCCCAGTTTTTAGCCTCTCGAGCTTTTAATATGGCGTTCATTCTGCACTCTTTCATCCCCTTGTGATCGTACTCTTCTAAGAACAAGGATCCGATGTAAGGATCGTAGCGAAAAGCCTTGATTTTAGGGTTTGCGATCATGAATGCTTCTAAATGAAACCTCCCATCAGCTACAAACACCAGAACTACGTCACTTTCGTTTTTGAATTGACTCATTGGAATAGTCGGAGCAGTGCAACCGAGAACTTCACCGGCTGATAGCGGCTTCGATTGAGGAATCAAAACCTTAAACCCTGCGTTTTCCAATTCAAGTTTAGCAGATCGAATCGCGGTTGCAAACTGAATCGTACCGGCGAGGATAAGCTGCTTCGTAGCGATTGACGGATCAAAATTTAGCTTCACGGTGTTGATTAGCCGCTCAACGTCGATTTTGATATCGACGAAGACGTAGAGGCAGGGGATGACGGTGTTATCTACAGGAACAAGGCAGCTATGGCCGTAATGGATGAGTAGATCGGCGTCGAGAGCTGCCGCGGAAAGGTCGTCGACGCAGCAAGCACCGTAAGTAACGTCACCAAGGACGAAGCACCGTTCGACGTCGGCGAAGGCGGTGATGATGTCGGAGATGACTAAGGAGTACATGAGGAGACCTTCAGGGAACTGAAGAGCGACGCGTTTAGCACCGGTGGAGCGGATACGCCAGACGGATTTGTGGATTTCGAAGCTGTAGTTGGAGGGGAGGAGAGCTATGGCGGCGTTGAGAGCCGGGTCGTTGATGATGGAGTCAGGGATTTGGTTCTTTATGAAACGTTTTGGTTGACGCGGAGGTGGCTTTCGGACTTCTTCATGATTGGTGGTGGTGGTAGAAGGTTGCGGCAGAAGTTGGAGGTCGGCTTCCATCTCCGGTGAAACAATAGGCGCCTGTATGTGGTGGTTGTTGGAGGTTTAAGGGGCAAAAAACTCTTTTTTCGTTTGGTCTAAATTAGGTTTTAATGCTACACGTTCTATGGTAGGCAAATTGTTACACACAATAAAGCCACGAGTTTTGTACTTTTAGGGTAGGGATTTTAATTATAACTTAACCAACAATTTGATATAGATTTTAAAAGGGTTGTTACTTGTCGATGTCAACATAGTTTTACGGTATGCTTTTAAATGACCACTCAATAAAATTTTGAATCCTTAGACCATTAAACTTGAATTTTACCCGTCAAAAATATCTTTTTTTTTTTTTAATTATCAGATTTCCCGATTATATTGATGATGTGTACATTGACTTTGATAGTTAAAGGTTCCATAGCCACTTGAACCAAACATTGCAGAGAAATTGAGAATATGTACATGAAAAATGAAAAATGGTTGTTTCTTTCAACACCGGAATGACTAACCTTGGAATAACAAAACGATTCTTTATTCGAGAAATGGATTGAAGCATCAAATACATGTTGAAGCTGTTTGAAGAAGAAGGAGACTCATTCGCTAAGAAAGTTGAAATCCATTGCCAAAAGAAACCAAACTCATGTCGAAGACTTCTACATAATGTTCACCAGACCTACACCGAAGCCAAAGAAGAGTTAAGGAGGAGTCAACCACCGAACCTACGATCGCAAAACCCAGGTAACTTGGATGTGTTTTCCAAACCCCCTTCCGCTATCACGTCTCCTGATTATGATTATACAAATTATCTCATCGCTTATCAGAGATTCCAAACTTTTATTATTTTGGAAACAAAGGATATGACACTTCAACATTAGATTGCGAGTCATATTCAAATGGAACTTGAATAAAATCAATCAAACTCTAAAATCGCATATTATGCTGAAGAATTACATATCGACAAGGAAAAGATCAACTCATTAGAAGAAGAGATTGATAAATTGAGGACCAAACTCCAAAAATACGAATCGATGGAACCCTTTTCGGATGAAATTCAGATTTTGGGTCTATTTTTCTCTCTCTAACATGGGGATGGAAGGAGAAGAGGCTCAAATTAATCAACTTCTAATGGACCTACTTGCTTATATATTCGTTTTCATCGCTTGATTCAAAGATTTGGCTCGGTATGTTTCATGAATTAAGATCCTATTGTATTTGTAACACCTATTTTTGGTTCATTTATGCTTTTGGTCCAATTAAAGACGTAAAATCATGGATTTTAGGGTGATCACGACATAGGGAAGGAGGCCTCATGATGTGACCATCAAGGCATAAACGCGCATCCATTCTTGTAGGCTACAACATGACGAGCAAGTAGTCATGATGTGGCGGCCACCTGAGGGTTAACCCTAATTTTCCATGATGTACGCCCTATTTAAGGGAAGTGGGGGCTAGGGTTTGCCCACCCTCAGCCTCCATTACCTCCTTCTCTGCCCTAAACGAACCTAGCCTTTATTATTGATCTTGATAACTCTTTTGGTGGTTTTTAGCTCCTTATTGAAGAAGAAGGTTTATTTGGTGCATTGTTTCATCAAGCCTCCTTCTCACCATCTTGTGTTGTTTCTAGACCGTTGTAAGTCCTCAAGTTTTTGTCTTTCGCATTTAAGCATGCTAGATCTAGGTTTTACTCACTTTTCTCCATGAATAGGTTGAGTTGAATGCATGGAATCCATAAAGTTGGCAATTTTATGGATCTTTAAGGTCCTTTGATAAACATAAGTCTCAGATGTGAAGTTTGGTGGTGGATTATACTCCATGCATGAATTTTGGTCTCATTTTCCCTTTATTTTGAACTAGTTAGTGTTCAAGACATGCTATATATATTTGTATGTTATCTATATTTGTATTTTAGCTATAATTTTATAAAATATTAAATTATATCAAAATTTATAAAAATTTTATGTACAAATCAAAGACCAATATTGATATATCTATAAAAAATATATATAAAAAATTTCTAAATTTTAAAATAAATATGTTACTTGCATTTTTATAGAATAAAAAAATTTGTAGATTCTATTTAAAATAGAATAAACATAATCACAAATTATATTTATATAGCAAAAGGTTGGGTTGGTTTTAGTTGCTAATATGTGTGAAATTTTTGGTTTTAATGGGTTGTATGGATGGATGAGAGAGAAAATAATATTTCAATAGATAGTTTGGTTGGATTTGATTGCTGATGGCGATGGGAGTAGTCTTAAAGAAAACTTGTAAATTTTAGGTCAAGAATTCATGAATAAACTCAACTCGCAAGCTCAATATATTTTTCATGAGGTTTAAAAAATCTCAAAATTGGCTGAGCTAAATATAATTTTAAAATATAAACAAAATAAGGTGCATCACTAAAATGTAGTGTATGACTTTTAAACACTATGGTAAGTTGCTAACACTATGACTCTCTTCTCCAGGAAGAAAATGAGAGAAAAATGAAGGAAACAGGTGTTCTTGATTTTTTATTTTTAGGGAGGGAGAAAGAAGAAAATGAAGGGAACACATGCAACATATTATCCAAACAAACAGGAAAGGAAACGCCCATTAACTGTTAACATCATTTGTTGTATATGTTTTAATAGAAATCCCATATCATCATCTTACATTTTGAATATCGGATGTATTCACAACAATCCCATTAGTTCTCCGGGCAAAAAAAACATTAGGCATTTCATCTTCTAAAACCAAAAGTTTTGATGTTATTTGACGTACAATAATTCTATATGCCTATTATGTATCTGCGCCCCCTGGGAGCGATAAACCTTTTGTACCTTATTAACCAAAGAGATACGAGTTTGCACTATAGTTAGTTCAGCACCAATCAAGAATGCCCAAGGGATTCCAAGAATTCTTGTTATAGATTTGTTCCAACCCTCAATCCTCTTTTCGAGATTCATTGATATTGAATCAATTGAATGCACTTCTAACACCTGTTCCACTTTTGGAAGACCTTGCGTTATATCTCCAGATCTTGATTTTTCATATATAAATGTAACTAATGTATCGCCTTCGTAAATGATTTCCCCATAATGTCCATGAACAATTGCTCCTCGAGTAGCCAAATAAGGTTTAGCTGATCATATTACCACAGAGTCAACTTGAACAATTAGAACTTGACCCGATCTTAAATGCGATCCTTTTTTTTTTTGCTATACATACATTTTCACAAAGAAACTGCCCAAGACTAATGATTGGAGATGTTTCTTCACAATAATTGTAATGGAGAAAATACCAATTCAAATGGAATGGATTCAAAATGATGTTACTGCATAAATAGGGATTATGAATTTGACCATTTTCATCCAATGAATAATATTTAAGTATTTGAAAAATCTATTTGAAATTGTCAAGTTGCAAATAGTTAGTTACCAAGATCTGATTATGGGTTATTAAATAGGAAAATAAATCTAAATTATAAATTGGAAAACATGTTACTAACGGGCCCAACGAATTCCTAATTGGAATTAGGGGGTTCTTTTTTATTTATTCTTTTATCACATTAGGAGATTTTACATCATTGAATGAGCCTATTCGAAAACAATTGGATGATGACAAAATTATCAAAGATTAAGATTCCTTATTTCGATTCAACAACGTATGGATAGTTCCTTGATTTGGATTAAGGAATTCTTTAATCCTTGACTTGGAATAGGAATAAATGGAAGGAAATGGATTGACATTAGAGCGATCTGATCCATTCTCATAGATCAATCCTGAACCTGACAGATCGTTTCTTTTTTCGGTATAAGAAATAAGTGACTTAGCTAAGTTGATTCTTAGAAAATATCTAAGCAAACCATTTGTCCTTATTTCAACAAAGGAAGCACAGGCCTTTTCGATTTTTTTGTCTTGGTCCCAATTCAACACTAAAGAAGTCCGAACTAATTGAATATTTGTGTCCCAAATTTCAAGAATTGGGTCGTAATAAAGGATATAATTGACAACTCGAAGTTGTAGATTATCACTTTCCTGCAAGAGATCCGACAGGAAAAGTCTTCCTAAATTTATACCATCCGTTTTTCTATATGGGACTGCAGGTTGAACAAAAACAAAATACTTTTTTTCATACTAGAAAGTTTCATTCGTTGGATATAGAGCCAATTTTTCAATTTTTTGTATTCTTTGGAATTTGGTTTTCCCCCTCCTAGCGGTATCAATCGGAATGCCTTATTTGTCTTTCCAGGATAATGGATATATCCATAAAAGATTATCAGTTTCATTTTTTCTGCTTTTTTCTTCACTCGGACCAATCTGCCTACCACTTCTAATAGGCCACGAACTAGACCAGAATCATTCTCAACGAGTCCATAAGGAGTGATCCCATTTTTTTTCATCGGGTCCGGGTAGAGACCAAAGATCTTGAGTGACCGATCCGACAGAACAACTCAAAAGATAAAGAAGTATCGTTAATTTCTTTATGCTCGTTCCAAGTTCGAAGTACCAGTTGTACAAATAATAATCCACTTCGTTACATGATTTCTTTTACATATAGATAGATATAGGACCAATGGGACAATTATTTAAAAATACATTTTGTGCTACAGTCCTTCCTATCTTATAGAAAAGGATCCCATGATCCTGGACCGATCTTACCTGGGATCGCAAATCCCAAATTTATCTATGAAGAGCGGATCTAATTGCATTAGATATCTATAATTGATTTATTATGTGTAATACTAATCGATAGGGCTTCATTGGTAAGTGCTATAAGATCTCGTGCATTGGAATCCATGGTTATGGACCCGAATCCATTAGTATTGAACATTTTCTTTTCCAAATGAAATCCCCTAGTATATGAAAGAGTGTAAAAGTGTTTTTGTTGTTTTATGATTAAAAAAAATGCAATTCCTAATTTGTAGAATATTTTTTTGTTATAGAAGATGATGAACGTAATTTGATCACTAACGTAAAGTTTAAAAAGCTTATGGAATATGGAATTTCGTTTCAGAAACCTATTGGATCATTCTTCT